AAAATATGTGGATCAAAAGAAACAAACCAGAATAATTTTAATAAATAAATGAGGTAAGTGAAGAATAAAAAAATAGACTTTGAAAGTATAGAAAAAGGAAATCAATTTCTGAATATGATGGGAAAGAGAGATCATTTCAGGAAAATATAAAAAGTAAATAAATGTTAATTACATTTCCTTGATGTGCCTCCTGTCTTGACTAAGCCGACATTGTTGGAATGGATTTCTTTAGTGTAGTCCTAGATATCCCAATGGTTCTGACGCCTTCCGCTTATCGTGATGATTTTACTTTTTGGCTTAGAGGTCCATCACTGACTGACTGGTCCTACTAACTAAAAAAGGAATGAATAGATCTGAATTAAAATAGATACTGTTTAATATAAGAATTAAGACTTAATGTAAAAGAAAAACATTTATTATGTTGTATATTATAGTATTTAAGTAAACTAAATTTAAACATAACAAATAAAGATCTAAATTCAGATACAATATATTAAACGAAAGAAAATTTCATAGAAAAACGACTAAAAAGTGATCAAAATCAAGTTAATGTAGGGGAAAGTGAGAAAAATTTTGATTTAATGTAAATTAAAAGAAATAAAACAAATAATTTTAAAAAGTATTAAATTCTAAGAAAAGGTAAGTGAAATAAATGAGGTAAGTAAAGAATACAAGAATAAGCATTGAAAAAAAAGATAAAAGTCCAAACGTAAATTAAAAGAAATAAAACAGAATAATTTTAAAAAGTATAAATTCTAAGAAAAGGTAAGTGAAAAAATAAATTAGGTAAGTAAAGAATAAAAAAATAGGCTTTGAAAGTATAGAAAAAGAGAAACAATTTCTGAATATGATGGAAAAGAGAAATCATTTTTGAAAAATATAAAAAGTAAATAAATGTTAATTACATTTCCTTGATGTGCCTCTTGCCTCGACTGGGTCGAAATTATTGGAATTGACTTTGCTGATCTATCCCTTGATGTGTTGATAGTGCCTCTTCCCTTGATTGGACCGAGATTAGTGGAATGGATTTTGGTAGAATCGTCCCTTGATGTCCTAGTGGTCCTTATGTCCTCACTTGTTGTTGACTTCCATGCTATCACTGACTGCTCCTACTAACCAAAACAAGAATGAAAAGATCTGAATTAAGCTATTGTTTAGATTAGTGTAAGAGTTAAGTGTTACAGTAAAAGAAAATGATTTATTATATATTATAGTATCTATAGAATGATTAAATGTAAATAAAAAGAAAAAATTCAAATAAACGTAAAATAAAATGTTATCTATCCATGATCAGTGTAGATTTAAAATTTTTTTTTGGTAAGAATTACAATTTTATAGTAACTAAACATATGCTTCTACGAACGCTTTAATAATACCAGATTTTTTATGGATGCTTAGTCAAGAAGGAAATTTTACGTGAAGAAATAACACCTGTTTGCATATTCCTTTACTATTACGATTGGTTAAAAGTATATTATATGTTTTTAAAAAAATTCTTTCAATAATAATTTCAAAAATAAATACCCAAACTTCCTTTCTATTCATCTAAGCATTACCTAAGGACCAAATGCTGATATCATTAATGCAAGTCTATTATTCTCAGTTAGTAAATATTGTCACCTACCAAGTAGTTACTATGAATCCTTTCTTTAGTAATAGGCAACAGATTCCTCTGCATCCATTCGGGAAAAGGCATTTTCATGTTTCATTCAGACGCTGTTATGTTGTGGAGTGAAACAGGACTGCAACGATCGATGCCTTACGGCATACGGTGCCCGGAGTTGTGGTATAATATTCCTGTAAAATGAATTATTACATTATTAAGAATGCAACTAATTAATTAATTAATAATGTACACATTAGAAATAAAGCTAGAGGTCATACAAGTTTCTATTGCAGAAGAACAAAAAGACAAAGGTGTAACTTAAATACTTAAATAAAAAATAAATTTTATTTAACTTAGTCATAAGGAAAATTATAAGAGCAAAAAAAAGCGCACGTTGAATGTCTTGGAAATGAAGAGGATTTGGAAAACATTGAAAGGGTGCAGGAGTGTAAAAAGGTACGCAGAATGTAATGGTGCAATCGGTTTTCAAGTGCGGTGGCAAAAAAGCACCGTGCGGCACTGCTAAACGCAAAAAAAAGAAAATTATGAGAACAAGAAAAAGCGCACGTTAAATCTCTTGGAAATGAAGAGGGTTTGGAAAACATTGAAAGGGTGCAGGAATGTAAAAAGGTGCGCAGAATCTAATGGTGCAATCAGTTTTCAAGTGCGGTGTCGAAAAAGTACTCTCCGGCACTGCTAAACGCGAAAATGAGGAAAATTATAACAGCAAAAAATAGCGCTCGTGGAATTTCTTGGAGATAAAGAGGA